CTTTCCCTTCGGCCTTAGAAACCATTGAATTGAAACCAAATAACTTTAGCCATGTTGGTTGCGACTAGAGACTTTTGTCAGAATAAAGTGCAACTTGATTTAGGTAGTAAAATTTATACATTCATTTCTTCGGTCAATTCTTAGTCGCGAAAGGTACTAGATAATAGGACATTCACGATTGCAAGCTGTCTCTTGTGAATATTTTTAAATGTTATGGAAATTAAGTTTTGTTTGTTTATCTTTGAATTGATGATTAGAGGTCTGTACAACTTAAGCATATATTTTCGTGTGGATCAACGAATGTTTTATTCTAGTTCATTGTAAAGACATCTATATTGTTAGCGACACACACAACTCTACTTTTTGTGGGATTTTTAAGACAGCTCATTTCTTAATTCTCGAGATTGCCAATCAATAAGGCCAACAACAAACGTCACTCGGTGAGAAGTACTTTTTCCAAGAAAAATGCGTTTTTTGGTTTCACTTTACTATCAAAATCAAGAAAAACTGTGACTATAATTACTTAACTATTTCTGCTCTTCTAAAATTTCCGCCTGGCAGCCTGCATTTCGTTCTCCCTTCTGTCTATATTTCTAGTGTCTCTGTTCATCGCATGTTCCCAACAACAGAAAGGACCAGTCCTCGGGAGTCACATTCCTGAACAGATTGATCTCTTCTCTTCTCATAACGGTGTCATCCTAATATGCTTTACAATCAAGTAACAAATTGGCGAAAAGAGTGATTCATTTTAGATGGTCGCAAGTTTATAGGCAACTAAACAACATTTAACGAGCTTACTAAGACACAAAGGTCTTTGGACAGACATTTGATTCCCTTTTTAAAAAATCAGGTTCAATTTTTCCAGAGGATTGAACCGAACAGTATAAAGGTATATAAAGAAAAATGCTAAGGAAGCAAAAGTTAGTTCTCCTGACTTCTGTTGACAATAGTTCTACTCCGTACGTTGCTCCTCGGATAACAACTTAAAGGGTATGATGTTTAGTGACTTCAATACCGTCCTCCCCCTTTTTTGAAACACTCACTGTTATACGCACAATATGATAAGATTCAAACGCAGAAAAACTAAGATTACATGCTTAGTACATATCAGAAATTGAGTCGTAGATTATTAATCTGTTGTGCCAAACAAAGAAATCTAAGGGGATCGGGAGTAGAAAGCTACCTGCAAACTATCTCGAAGATCCGCTAGTATGATTAACCTGGTTGACACATTGTACGTTTCCGGTTAATGTCAGCGTAAATCTGCCTTTTCATCATGACATCCAGCAAATCCTGTACTATTTCTTTTCTTTTTCAATGGAATAAGCTTGTTGGGTAAATTGTAGGTATTTATGATAGGTCAAAAAGAGGTGCTTTGTAGGGTTACTCCATTGTTGGTTTCCTGTATCGTCCATGCTCGCTCAAGAAAATAGAGAAACAAAAACAGAAAATTGGAACTTAGGTCAACATGGATTTTAATCAGCACCTCTTCAACTCTCTTTATAGTACCTGAAGAAAAACTACAAAAAAATAAAGAAAGAAAAGTAATATTGTACGTCTACACTTTTTTTGTGAACTTCGTTCGCTGCATCAGGCTATATTACGGAGGATGAAGGTCTAAATACGCACAATAAAGAAGTTAGACCTGTCTATTCCTCATCGTATACCTAATTGTCGGGAATGCGTTTCTACTTCATACCTCGCTAACAATTTCACACCAGACTTACAGACTAGTACGTTTCAAAAGTATGGCTTGTTCTTCCAGTGTGATTCCACTGTGGCAAGGACCCAGCTCAAAATCTAAACCTTACTCTTTTTGAAAGAAACCTCTTACAAAGCCGCGATATGATCTTGCCCATACACAATTAGTTAAATTCAAGAAACAAATCAACGTGTAAATATACATGGAAACGCACAAAAAAGGCAAACGAGATGTTATAAGGAGGGAAACCTGGTGCATCTATAGTATTATAGAAGAAAAAAACACTTAAATTTTTTAGATTACCCAATCACCTCTAATCATTTTAATCGGCAATGAGAAATGAGTATGGCGGCAAAAGGGCAAACTCCTCTAATATCGCGTTTTAAGTATAATCAACAAGGAATAAACACCGGTATAGGACTTTCACACTGAGGGAATAGAAGAGACTCTTAGCGAGTAAAATAATTCTGGAGAGAGGAAGGAAGTCTTTATCTTAGTGTGCGGGATTAACATTCGCTGGTTGTTTCTATTAGTGGTTACTGTCATTTCAAAAGAAAACATGCAATCACGCACGAAGGTTGAGCGGAAAATATTCAGTTAGCTGATTATACTTGTTCGCTGAAAAGCTGAACGACCATCTCAAAATCAGCATTATATCTACATCCCGTATATTTTTACTGACTCCCTCCTCCGCAATTCACCCTTCGAACACATTAATGAGATAGTTACCTACCTTTAAATCACTCTATTGTAATATGTTCTAATATTCACATTTAAAGTTGTCTCTCGATTATAAGAATTATTGTTCCTTCAAGCTTGTAGGCTGATTCGGATATATGTGTTTGGGTCAACCGCAATTCTTTTCAAGCGACTCGTAGTTTCTCATGTATGTCACATCTCCCACTTGAAAATTGTACATTTTTCAAAAAAGTGAGGCGGAAGGCAGTAACTCAACATGTCAATAAGGGAAATGCAGTTATAAAAATATGAAACAGTAATCCTATTAAACCAATACTTACGTAAGAATTTAGTGGAAACAGCACCCAAGTAGGTCGTAGAGCCGAGCCAAATTTAGGAGTGTCGGTCAAAGCAGTATTATGAGCTCTTCTTTTATCCCTCATGAACACTGATTATCTATCATTTCTCATCTTGAATGATGAGCTCTAGATTCTTAGGGCTTCGCGATACACCAATTGGATTACATATTTATGAAGATAGGAAACATTAAAAAATGTTTAAAAACTTTAAATGGAGATCCCTTATGTTTGTAAGGTAGTCGAAAACAATTTTGCCAATAATTTGGAACCGCCGAGGTTATTTCTGTCTAGAAATCCAATCTGTTAGGAAGATCTAGAGGAGTCTTTTTCCGAATTGGAGGGATGAAGAAGATAGTGCTTCTTCTCAAGAACACCATTAGCAATCCTCTAAGTTACTCCCAAGGGCCACTGAAGGCAAAGGATGCCTGTTAAAAGCCCCAAAAATTCTGCAAGGCAAATGAAAGATTATACTTTGTAAGATAAATAAACTCATGCTGAGTCAAAGGATTTTGTTTAATCACTCATCTTCACCTCCATAAATGTATAAAAGTTGTCTATGGTTCTTTGTAGCATTTGAAGTGTGTTATATGGAAAGCAAAGAGAAACAGACCATTTGTCAGTTACTGAGAGTGTATTGCTCGACGTTTAGTTGACGTCCTAAGAACGAGCAATATTTAATCCAGATGCTATCTCTTACCAGTTTTTTTCCGAGGATAGCAAAGCGCAGTTTTCAAGGTCTGCAATGGAGCAGTGAGACTGTAAGGATTAAAGAGCGAATACGAAGGCGTGTTACTTTTTGTTGTCTTTTTCACTCGCGACCAAAGATATAAGAAATAAAATTTTTCTCATAAAGAAAGATTTAAAGCTGGTAAGGTTACAGTGAGGAGAAATATGATTTGAAAACTTACACTCTCCCATGTATATAAAGAACCCAAACCTCAGTCGGTGGGCGGAGTAGTTGGATTAATTATTTCCTTTGCTCACAATCAAGTCCTTGGAGAAAGCAGCCATTTTTCAAGTGAGATTTGTAACTGTTGAGGGCTAGCTCGGATTTTTAGTTGGTAGAAGTAACTCGGTATTCGTTGTCAAAAGTCTTGATGTGATTGAAAATCCATCAAAATGTGGGGGAATTAAGAGTCTTTATTTCAAAATTATAACCAAATTACAGTAGTTTTTGGTTCATATTAAAATCAAAGTTTAAATTACCATGACAAGGTATCAATAACCATGAGAGAATTTAACCCCTTTGAGGGGAAAGAAGAGGTTTGGCAAAAAGGAAACTCTTAAAAATAAAACTGCTTTTCTATTATGATGTTAGAAGGGGCGACCCAGTGCATGAAGCCTCCACATGTATTGGGCTTTTGGAGGAGAGTGTTGATGTACACGTCTTTCCTTACTTTTTTTTTAGATAGGTTGTTAGTGGCTGAATCCATGACTTTTAGAAACACAAGTGAAGAAGTTAAAATTTACCGTTTCCTGCAGCTTATGATGTTATAAATCTAGCCAAAACAAACTGCAGTGAAAAATTAAGCTTCACACGCACAACAAGGAAAAAAGAAAAGGCTTATCTAACAAACAAGAAGAACAGTAAAATATTCCTAGGCTCCGTCCTGAAACTCCAAAAGATTGACACACTTTTCAAAATAGGGGATTAAAATTGAAGAACAATTATATATTCTAATTAACGTCTGCGAATCAAGCACAATTCATTATTGATGAATAGTTAACCAGAGCCTCACCGTTTTCATGGAAAAAGGATTGGAATTGTTCATGCTAGAATTTAAAGTACATTAGCATTTGATGTAGGAGAGGAAACTCAGAAATAGTTAGTTTCAAAATCAATACAGTAACAAAGGGTAGCATACCAAATCTCACCATCAGGTTAAACATCAGAAATATAGTATAGTAGTACAAATGTGCTTAAAAAAGCTTTATATTCTTTTTCTACTTTACTACTTGCATATTCTAAGTAATAAAAGTTAAATTTACTTTACACAGTAACCGGATGATTTTCTCAAAACAAATTCATAGATCGAAATCAAAAGTTTGTTATTATTTCAGACATTGAAACTATAGCTAAACAAGGACAGGTTCTCGAACATTACCTCCAGAAGGCCCTTGCCTGTTGGATATTTCAACAAGTGATAGGCCACCTGCAAAGCCAATCATTGCGAGCCGACCTAGCCACACATTCCAACTGTGCCTTTGAAAGTACCTTGCCCACATCTTATAGAAACTAATGAGGTTTCTACCCAACATGCTTTTCTGAAGAGCAGTTCTTGATATCACTAGAAATGAAAAGCTGGTGTTAGCTCTTCTGGTAATATACATACTTCCCTCCAATCCCAAAATAATAGTCCACAATAATTTGAAATGTCCTAAAATTAATTGGTCCACTTAACTATTTTAGTTAAACATCAACAAGTCAAAAGGTTATTTTGTCAACCATACGCTTTCAGATAACTTAACATTTAATTTCTATTCCACTATAAAAGATGAATTGGTCTAACAAAACCTACTTAATTTAACAGACTTTTCTCAATTCTATGCAAAGCAAACCTGGACTAGAGATGGAAGGAGTAATTATTAAATCAGGAAAAGAACAATTGCCAATATAGAAGGAATATATATGAAACTCACTATTGTAGTTCAAAAAGTTACAACAAAAAAATAGTTCATAAATATCTCTTTTGCCCATTAAAATACAGGAAACGGGATGAAAATCAAACTTAAACTCAGACCTCTTCTGCTGAGATCTATATTTTCAAATTGATATTTACATTTCGTACTGAATCCTTTGATTATCTAATGGACCATATTGCACCTCTAATAGCTCGGGTCCAAAAGCAATGTGTTTTGAAGATCAAAGCTCAAATAACCAAAAGATACAAGGATAAAGTAAATTTTCTGCTCCACGCTTTTTTACTTGGATTGGCATTGTACATACAAGGAAGTTGAAGGAGAATTGGACCAAAACAAATAATCATAATTGGAATTAACTTATAAATGTATACTAATTTTAAAGATTGTTTTGGAGAATGCGAAAGTTGGAGAAAAGAAAATGGGAGAGAAAATGTTATTTTAACTATAAGGAACTAAATGTTGTCTTGACAGACAATGGATATTTATCACCTTCCGAGGGGGAGGACAAACATTTTTCTATAAAGATGATTAATTGATTTTAAAAAAAAAAAATAATTATATGTTAATTCCGGAATTAAAACTCAAATATCTTTCTCATTATTTTAAACTGCTGTGTGTTGGCCATGGGCCCATGACTTTAACAGACAGAACACCTGAATTGTTGGTCTCGAGAAATGTCATTGGCCCAAAATTTTCCAACAAGAAACCTATGTATATAACATTTACCTTACACCTAAAAGATAAATCTGGAAAGCAATGATTTGAAATTTTATCATATGAAATGTATTTGATTTGTTTAGGAATTAATGATACTTTGAGCAATGATTTGAAATATAAATTCGTATTCGATTTTAGCTTAGATTGTTCCAAATGAACTTCATTTCAAATGAAATTCCATAGGATGTTTGAAATCTTGTACACGAATCAAATAACAAGTTACGTGAGTTCTCAGCCACTGTTCAACCAAAAACTAAGCGGCTAATCAAATTCATGATTCTAATCAATCAAGGAGGCAATATTCTGTTGTTATAAAGTATACACTCACAAAAATTTCAATATCTCACACTGTCAGATGTCCTTCCAATGTGATCAAGACTATACGCCATATATCTAATTGACACGAGGTAATAACGTGGGAAGTAAAGATGCAAAATATTAAAACTGAAAGCTTGAAACATATACGAAATGCATCAAACAATAATATGTTCTTTTGTTCTTTGAAGAGATGATGTATTTGATTTTGACCGAAGAGTGTAATTGAAATATGTATGAATGTGACATATGAAAAAATTTATACAAAATAAAGTCAGGTAGATAATCATTCTGTAATTTTAAACTCACCCGATCAAAATCCCAACATAACCACGTAATTATAGAGAGATGCGAAAGCAACAATGATTGTGAATATCTTACAGAGGAGCGAGAAGCCAGTGGCCAAAGGTGTTTTCCACTTTTGGTTTAAACTCAAATGGATAATTGAGAAAATTGCAACTGACATTTCATATTTATCCGCGCTCTGCGTGGAGACTAAAAAAGAGTAAAGTGCACGCTCAAAACAGCTCCTTCTGCAAAGTCTCTTAATTTGTGCTATTGAGCTTAAAAAAGCATAAACTGTCATTCTCAATCTCCTTTAATTAAACTAAAAATATTAAGCATAACAAATATTTTGTTCTTGAAGATGATTGTATTTGATTTTGACCGAGTTATTAATATGTTATTCATATAAAAATTTATACAAAATAAAGTCAGGTAGATAAAAATCATTCTTTATTAAACTCACCCGATCAAAAATCCCACAATAAGTAATTATAGGAGATGCGAAGAACAGATGATTGTGAAGTATCTTACAGAGAGGAGAGCCAGTGGCAAAGGGTGTTCCACTTTTGGTAAAACTCGAAATGGGTAATTGAGAAATTGCATGAATTCTTCTTGCTGAGCTAAAAGCACAAACATCTGCAACATAATTTTGACTAAAAAGCTTAAAATCAACTCCATAGTATCATAAAACCAACAAAAAAAAAAAAGGGAGAGAAAGAGCACCGTGGACGGAGGAGAAGGAGAGCGAAGCAGACACTTGAGCCAGTGCCATGTTTTTTGTTAGAACAAATTTCAATAGCAGAGAAAGTTGTGTGGCACCACTCAGATTTATTTTATTTCGATTATCTCTTTTCCAGTAACGGATCAAGATGACCAGACACTTCTGGTTTTGTTTTGGTACAGATAAATTGACACGTGTACCGCATCCGTATTATATCGATGGAGGGATTTTTCGTTTTTGCCTTATGTTTGGATTGAAGAGGAAAGAAATAAGTGAGAGAAGAAATTTTGAAAAAAAAAAAGCTAGTATATTTTTTTTATTTTGATATACAAAAAGAAAATAAATTATTTTATCGTTATTAATATATTATTTTTCCCTTAATTTTGAGAGAAATTTTTTTTTAAAAAAAGATTTCTTTTTATTTTTTCTTTATTTAAATAGAGAAAAACATTTTATTTTTATTTAAATATAAAAAAATAATATTTTCCTATAAAATTTCCCTGGATCGTATTCACAGTCAGTTATATCTATTTATATCTATATAATCTATCTATATAGTTATATAATATTTAAAGCATGAATATTTATGTGATAATATATAAAAGGATCGAAGTGATGAAGTGATGAGCGGCGCTTTATTCTTTTTTCATTCTAATTAATATTTTTCATTTAATATACATTAAGTTTTTTTATTAAATAATAGAATTATTAATAAATATTATTTTTTTTATTAGACGATGAAGTACCTAATGAAATTATAATTGAGTTATAATTAATAAACATTAATTAAATAATAGAGTGACAATAATGTGGTTAATTAATGGTATTAAAATATAATTTTAGTTCATTAAAATTTATTATATTACAATTAAATCTTATTATATTCCATTTAATTATAAAAATTAATAAGCATTTCAATTTAATATATGAAAATTTCAAATAAAAAAATTATTATTAAAAATGATTATTTCGTCTTTTGAGGTATGATCAGATTATTATAATTATGATTAAATATAATATTATAAATTGAAGTTTACAACACCAAATAGATGTAATTTTATAAGGTAAACTTTATTTATAAAGCACAGGCTTAGAGTTACCACTACTGTTAAAAAAAGTTTATAAATACTATTTCTACTCGTTTGAGTAATACTAAAGTAGAAATTAAAAAGATGTTTAAAATAACACCTCTCGAAAATGCAAAAGAGTAAAACAATTAACTTTTCTCTATGGATCTTTAATTAGTTAAAGGGTTTGTTCGGCAAAATTAGCTGTTTTGGTAGCTATTAATTGTTTTAATAGTATTTAATTATTAACTATTTGAGTAGTTTTTTATAAATTGCTAAAATTTAAACATTACATAAGTTAACTTTTTTATAAAACATTACATTGACATCTAAAAGGTAATTTAAGCTTTTATGTTATTGAAAATTATAAAAATAACATTTATTGTTTTAACTGGTTAAAATGTTAAAAGTTACTTAAAAAATCATCTGAATACAAAAATCATTGAATCGGTTAGTTTCTTCGTGGGACTGCTTTTCCTTTTATTTAAAGAGCGCCACTAATCAATGACAACTTTTCTATTTAATGAAACTCACTTTGGTTATTGTTTAGTCCCGAGTACCTATGTGGCTAAAGCTATAAATGAGACGAACCATTTGAGGCTTAATTTAATAAAAGTTCGCTTAAACTCATTTGATAAACTTATTAAGCTGAGTTCGAGCTGAGATGTTGAACTCATTTAATAATAATCAAGCAAGGCTCGAGCTAAACTCATTATCTCGTGAGCAAATTTATCTTGCCAAGCTCATGAGCTAGATTTATCGAATTGCCCAAAGCTTACAAGTTAACTCAATCTTGGTTTGTTTATGATTATCGAGCCGAATTCAAGCTTAAGCCCATTCAAGTTTAATTTTACCGACTCATTTATAACTAACTTGTAAGTTGTAACTGTTAATTTTAATTATTATATTTCACCCATTGGCTCTGATTTTAACTATTATATTATCCTATTTTTTTATATTTGAATATGTTTTTATCTCGATAATATCATTATTATGTAATACTTTATTTTGATAATATCATTGTTATGTAATACTTTTTTTTGTTTCGTTAAAATTTGACCGTTTTGAATTTTTTATTTTATTTAGATGGCATTTTAAAAAAAATGAAAGTAACTATTTCAACTTTTATCTTTCTGTTGCATGTGTACTAATTAGACATGGTCACGGTTACGGAACCGCCGGTTCCAGTTTTAAAAAATTTGGACCCAAAATAGAATCGAAATTGACGGTTCCGATTTCAGTTTGAAATTGAACGGTTTCGATTCTTTAACGGTTCTAAAATCGACGATTCTGACTGGTTCTCGATTAATTTTCCAGCGAATCGCATAATTATAAAACAAAAAAGTAGAGAACATTTTGAAACCGGCCGGTTTTTCAACCAATTTTCCTGTCGATTTTTGGAACCGCCGGTTCATGGTTTCAAAAATAGTAGAATTGGAACCGAACCGTAGGCCATGGTTCCGATTCAGACCGATTCCGATTCCAATTCCCACTGGTTCGGAACCGACGGTTCCGGCTCCAGGAACCGTAATTTGGCCACCTCTAGTACTAACTTTATCTTAATCAAATAAACATTAATTAAAAAATAAATTTAACTAATTGCTCTTTTTTCTTAATTGATGTGATTCAATTATTTTGATTAATTTTTATGAAAATTCAAACATTTGTCAAGGGAGGGAAAGAGTACAAAATTTTTTTCCCCGAAGCGTGGAGACGCGTGAAAAAGAAAAAAAAAAAAGAAAAAAAATGAAGTGATAATGACATCATCTTCCGGATTGAGTCGGAATCAAATTGGAAAAAAAAAAAAAAAAAAAACAGGAACGCGAATCCCTTCATTTATGCTATAATAGGTCAGACGTTTGTTCAAAATATTCTGTACAACTTGCTCTTAACATTTTTAATTTATTTTATCTATATCTCATATCTTATCTCCATTGGCTCACTTTGATATCTTCTGAAAACATATGCTTAATGATTATCCCTATTTTTATATTTTGGAAGCTATGTATTTATAACTCCCGATAACTATTCTAATTACTTTATTGAATAAATTGTAATAACTGGATAGAAATTTTGTCGATATATTTGATCAATTTTGTTGTTTACGGTAATACTTTTATTTTAGATGATTACCCGAGGAAAATGTAAGTAAACTTTGAACCGGTTTTTGAAGGTTTTTATTGTTTATTTAAGATGGCATTTAAAAAAATGAAATGGGAAAGGTGAGCAACACTAAATTTCCAACACTTTTATTCTTTTTTCCTTGATCTTGCATCTGTTGTACTAATCTAAGACAATATTTTCCAAAGGATCAAGTTGAGTGTACGGCCACAAGCCTGGCCCACGAGTTCCATGTTTTAACAAAAACTTTCTGGACACCTAAAATGAGAAAATCCGGAATCAAAATTGACTTGGCTCCTCTGGTTTCCCCTTCCACGGAATTGCGCGATCTTTCAGTTTTGAAAGCACATTGAATTGCAGCGGGTTCGTCTTTAACGGTTCTAAGAATCGACGATTCTGATGGTCAAGGGTCGATTAAATTTATCCAGCGGAATCGTAATTTATAAAACAAAAAAAAGTAAGGAGAAACATTTTGAAACGGGGCCGGTTTTTTCAAAACCAATTCCTGATCGATTTTGGAACCGCCGGTCAGGGTTTCAAAGAGAAAATAAATTTAGTGGGTCACGAAATTGGGACCTAACCGTAAGGTGAGCAATCTCTTCGCGATAACCGATTTGAATAGCAGGAGACCACGAAATGTGGATGACATTAATATTACCAAAATTTCTCCAGCTGATTCGGAAACCGACAGGGTTTCCGGGCTCTCCCAGGAACCGTTAATTTGGCCACCTTAGTACTACTTTATCATGTATAAGTTCAAATAGGGCAACATTAATTTAAAAAATTAAATTTAACTAATTGCCTCTTTTTTTTCTTAATTGATTGTTGATTCAATTATTTTGGAATTAATTTTGGAGAAGTCGACAGTTTGTGCAAGGGGGAGGGAAGAGTACAAAATTTTTCTCTACCCGAAGCGTTGGGAGAGCCGCGTAGGTAAAAAGAAGAGGAAAAATAAAAAGAAAAAAAATGAAGGGGGGGATATGCCGGACAACAAGGTCTGCCTAAAGTGACTTTGATATTCCGACGTCGCCGATGGAGTCGAAATTCTGCAACTTGGAAAAAAAAAAAAAAAAAAAAAGTGTGTTATTAGCGAAGCCTGGCATCCCTGGCATAGCATTTATACTTTATCTACCAAAAACTGCCAATCTCCTCCATGCAGAGTCGCAAACTCCGGCACACCAAACAAACCATTCATTACCTCATTACGGCTGCAAAACTACACAACCCTGTTCTTTCGCAATCTCCAATTTTTTCTTGTTTAAAACCTCCCCACTGTGTTTATCGCATATTGCTGAAATTTGGTTCTATCCCCTTTTCTCCATTGGTGATACTAGCTATCCTTACAAGATTAAGCTGAGATCGAGAGTGTACCAATATCGAAGGAAAGACATATAATCCGATGCTGCCACTTTCCAAAACTCCCGTTTTATCCATGCGGGAAATCTCACTTCCCTTCTCCCTCCTGTCTTTGAGGCTCATCTCTGTGCATTAGATTGCAAGAGAGTTTCAGGATTGAGGCGCAACGCACTTACCTGCAATTAAGATCGTGCGTATAGCTACTTAGAAGCCTCGACATTGACTATAATATAAAAAGTAAGAGGGCAAGAGAGTTCTACTTCTCTGCACCCAAATTCACGTTTAAATGGAACAAGCTCAGAGTCAGACTGACGACGGAAATAGCTGAAATAACAAATTGGAAAAAAAAAAAAAAAAAAAGTGTTTATTACGGACCTGCATCCCTGGCAATAGCCATTTATACTTTATCTACCAAAAAACTGCTCAATCTCCTCCATGCAAGTCGCAACCCAACAAAGCCATTCATTACCTCTACGCTGACCAAAACAACCGTCTTCGCAATCTCCAATTTTCTTCTTTAAAACCCCAGGTGCAATGGCATCCCTTTCCATTGGAACACACCACGTGTACCAATTCAAGAAACACGCTGTCCACTTTCCAACTCCCGTTTATCCATCCTCACTTCCTTCTCCCTCTTCTTTAGGCTCATCTCTACATAGATTCAGAGTTTCAAGATTGCTTGGCAATAATCTGCTTGCTAGAGCTGAAGATAAAGCAAGAGATTCTACTTCTTCTAATTCACTTAAAGGACAAGCTCAACAGCCGAATAGTGAAAAACAGCTTCAGGTTCCTGTTTATCGTCTGTTGTCACTAAAGATTCAAATTTTAAGAATACCCATTTGCTTGTTTGCTAGTTATGCGAATTGATTTTGCATAAATGAAAATTTTTTAAATTAAACATTTGGCTAGAGGTATTGTTATTGAAAATTGGGCTTTTGGAGTACATATCTGAATTGATTAAATGGATATGGGACTTATTTCTCTTATATATTTATAGAGTGGATGTCTCCCTTTTGCAAAAATGCCTGTTCATTGTTAGAATTAAAGTGAGAAGTTGTTTCCAAATTGTTTAGGGGGTTTCATATTGTGAAATATGTCATATGTTGAAGTTTTAGCCTGCTGTACAGGATTAATTTAATGATATATGAGACTCACACCCTTGTTATTACTATGGATACAGCTAGTATCCATTGTGTATCTTTCTTAGCCTTCGCTGTTGATTTCAATTCATATTAACTCTTAGCATATTATCAGGAGCTGTCACCTGAAGCTGGGTCATGCGATCCTCTATGCTCACTCGATGAAACAAGTTCACTAGATTTGGAAGCCACATACCAGCCAAAAACAGATTTGCTGAAAGCTCTTGCAGTTTTTGCGGCTGCTGCAACAGGGGCTGTAGCAATTAACCACTCATGGGTTGCAGCCAATCAGGTGTATATTTCTTTCGTGGAGAACAATTATGCAATTTGATAGTTTATCAAATGCTTAAGTTCCCAGCTATTATGAAAAGACAATTGGTGGTTGATTCAATAAAATTTCTGGGACAGGATCTTGCTATGGCAATACTTTTTGTAATAGGATATGCAGGCATAATCTTTGAAGAGTCTCTAGCTTTCAATAAAAGTGGAGTAGGATTATTGATGGCTGTGAGCTTATGGGTAGTACGAAGCATTGGGGTAAGATTCATATTCAGTCCTTATTGATTAACAATGATATCTAATTTGGCTTCAAAAAATAGTTCAATTTTAACTATTGGTCACTTGCATATGTGACATATATTGCACATTCACACGGACATATTATGTGGTTTGAATTGAAATATCACTTTTCTATTTTCCTTAAATTTCCTTGCTTGGCTGACTGATATAACACATATTCATAAAGGCCATATTGCTCTGTTTCTTTTATTAGCACTTTGTAGATGTGCTATAGTATCATGTAATCCTGATCCTTTCTTCAAGAATCCAACATAATCTTCACTATAATTATTGTGATTAAGGTGTCCTTTATATTTCATAAAAGAACTATAAGTCTCGGCCCGTATCCTGAAAATCATATAACATTTAACACAATGCAGTTTGGCTTGCTCCTTTTCTACGTGTACCATATTTGCAACTGACTGATTTTTGTCTGAATAATCTGTTGGGAAGAATAGTTATTATGATATTGACTTTTATTGGTTCTTGCATGATTGAGTATAGTAGCAGGCACCAATTCTTCATTTTTTTTGTTAAAGCTTTGATGGTGTCAATGACCAACTGTACTAATGGGAATTTTGTTTTTTCACTTTCCTGAGCAGGCACCTTCAACTGATATAGCTGTTTCGGAGTTGACACATGCTTCTGCAGAAGTTAGTGAAATTGTATTCTTCTTGCTTGGTGCAATGACCATTGTTGAGATTGTTGATGCTCATCAAGGATTTAAACTGGTCACTGACAATATAACCACTCGAAAGCCACGGGTTCTGCTTTGGGTGGTTAGTGCTCTTTTCTGCTGTCATGGCTATATTAAGTCCTTTCTTTTAGATGTTTGATGTATTAAACTTATAATAGATGATTAAGTCAGTCTGGTGCCTCGTATTGTTGCTCGTGATCTGATGTTTTGACCATTAATGCTGATTATGGAAAATTCCGAGAAAGAATAGAGACTGAATTACTGTATATGAATACCAAAAGATTCAGTTGACTGTAACATGAGATCCTGATTCCTGATTAAAATGAACCTTTATCTAACGGCTGACAATGTTTCTTTTAAGAGATGACTTTTAATTCGGTTATTCATATTCTTTTAGAAGATTTCATGAAAGAATTTATATGCTAGATCCAATTCTATCTTGTTTGGTCCATTTAATATGCCAAGTGCAGTGTTGCTATCTCCTTGATAATTAAAATGTTAAATATCATGGCGGCACCATAGCCTCTCCTATATATAATACTCCCTCCGTCCCAAAAAATAGTCCTACTTCTTTTTCACATAGATTAAGAATGGATAGTTAAATTAGTTCAACCATAACATTTATCATTCTTTTTCCATATGAATCTCTATTAATAATTTTTTGATTAATGTTTAGAGTTTTTCAATAAAAAATTAATATCTCAGCACATGTTTCAATTACTTTATATTTATATTTGACTAAATATTTAGTAATTCTATGTATATTAATTATTGGCACAAATTATATTATAAGGGTATTATTGGAAAGTTAACAAAAGACCATTTCCAAAAATGGAATTGGGACTATTATTTTGGGACAACCGTTATGCAAAGTGAGACTATTTTTTTGGTACGGGGAGAGTAGTAATTTGTCCATCTGTTCACAAAACTGTACAGATAGTTGCTTCACAATTCTTTCTCAATCAAAATGTGTCTTTGTGTCATTCAGGTTTCTGTTTTTGATTATGCTTTCTTCAGCAGAAAGTTTGGCATTCTATCTGATTCTAAATCTTTTTGCTGTTTAAGATCAGTGTATCTTAGTTTTAGTTCTTGCGTTATTTTTCTTGCCAATAAATGGTGTTTGACCAGTAGTTGTGGGATAATGCAGGTTGGCTTTGTGACATTTTTCCTTAGTTCAATCCTTGACAACTTGACGTCTACCATTGTCATGGTTTCTTTATTGAGGAAACTAGTACCTCCATCAGAATACCGCAAGTATGCACTACAAAATTGCATAAATTTATTTCGTGAGACTTTCTTGAACATTAAATGATATTTGCATCTCATATTTCCATGAAATCATTTTGTAGGTTGTTTGCTTTAGATAAACACTAGCTGTAAAATATCATGCCTCTTGTGGAGCAGTTAACCTGTAAAATTTCTTTGAATAGTTTGGGTTCTTTAATCTTTCCTCCACCAATTTTATCATCTTTAACCTACCTCTTCTCTTAGGTTTCTTCTTTACCTGAATGACTTGAATTAAAATATATATTGTAAATTTGGTTTGTATTAGGCTACTATAAAAGGAAAATGTAGCCAATATATTGTTAAAATATATTTTTCTCATGGATTTCATAACTCCATATTATATTTCCATAGCAATTAATAGTCTACCTAGAAAATTATATAATTGGTGAACCCTTAGATAATGGGTTTTAAAGGTGAAATGAACTTTTTTTTATGGTCTGCAAAGTTAGTTGAGACAAGTAAATATAGCATATAATATTTATCCATTGATGTGTCTGTTTTTATAAGTTAGTCTTGATCTTGTCCGTTGCAATTGTGACTGTGAAAAGAATTCTCTCTACTATGATCATGAAGCATCATTCATGTAATCATATGGTAGAAATGAAAATAAAGGAGGAGGCATTGAAAACTTGAACACAGCCTTGTTTATCAAATTCATAAAATTAGAGTTTTGGCACCTCATAAGAAGAGACTCCTTGAGTGCTCCTAGCTAAGGGCATTGCAAATTCTTTGTTCATAAACTCTTGAAAGTATAAGATTCTAGTGAAATTCTGTTATTTCAGTCATTTTCAAATTAAAAGGAAAAGCAAGCCCCTTCTTCCTTTAAGAAAAAGAATTAATTACTTCAAATAAATTCATTTAAATCAATGGATTTCTTTTCACAGGCTTTTAGGAGCTGTTGTGGTGATTGCAGCAAATGCAGGTGGTGCATGGACTCCTATAGGTGATGTAACGACTACTATGCTATGGATACATGGTCAAATATCCACACTGCCAACAATGAAGGTCCATTCATTATTCTAAGGAAGACATCTATTTTTGCATTTTATTCATTAACATCAAGTTTATCTGTGCATAAACTACATTTCTGGTTGCTTTGGCACCATTTGATTGAACATTTTATTTCTTGCTTTGTGCTCTTCATCAAGCACATTCTAACATACTTCATTTTCTGTAACAAAAATGCAATACTAAGAAGCATACGTTCTATATTTTAGTTCTTTTTAGAAAAGCAAAAGGCAATCTAAAACGAAAAATTATTTTTTAGCTTGATAAAAAATAATATATATTTTTTCAATTGCTTTTTGTTGTCAGCCAAACTTTGCCTTTCAATTTTAAAATAGCAATAGGAAGAAGAAGAAGAAGAAGGAGAAACCTTATTAAGCTACCGAAATGGTGTCGTCTTTCTAATGTGGAGTTAGAATGAATAAAAATAAGATTTAAATGTATCACTCCACAAATATTAAGTTTACACAAAAAATAGACTTCAATTTTCAATGAAAATAACTGGTTAAGGATTGCTACTTTTTATTGCCTACTCATTTCAAGACAGCTTGCATTAAAATATATTGCGGTTTTTGGTATAGATTATTATTATTATAGGTGTTTAGTCCATTGAATTGCATAACATATAAACATACACTAAAAATACATTATATTATATTTCGTTTCTAAAAATGCATTTGATTACATTATATTACATTTCATTTCATTATGGCTTACTAAACATAGCCTTATTGTTTGATTCCCTCTAGGTCTGATGAATTCATCCATAACTCTGCACTTGTCATGTACATTTGTGTCCTTGCACATGTGTGTGTGTGCATGAGAGAGAGAGAGAGAGAGACAGACAGAGAGAGAGATTGGTCTGATGAATAGGATATAGCACTCAGATTTAGTTCTGCCTCCAGTGGCATTGTTAATTCCTCAAGAAATACAAGACCACGCTCTTAAGTAGTGAGAACAGTTTATAGTTAATATGTTTCAAGGGTGGAGAAGTAACTGGCTAATGGAGTTGGTATATGCTTTATTTTTTTAAAACTTGAAAAGTTGAAAATCAGATTCTTTGGTTGTAAAATTTTAGTCTCTAAAGAAATTAAACGCCTCATTTTTACCAGATGAGAAAGTTCCCAATTCTTGTTCTTTTTTGCTTGCAGAGTTTGCTATTACCTTCAGCTGTTTCTTTAGCCATTCCACTGGCTCTCATGTCTCTCACTAGGTACTCATCTTGCATTTCCAAACTGAAATAAGGGATTAAGTCCTGAAAGTTTTAGTTTAATTTTCAGATGAAGTGATATGTGCCCCTCTTCTCCTATGCAGTGAAGTTAATGGAAAGGAACAGGAATCCCGTAATGTTTTGGCAACTGAACGAATGGCTCCTCGAGGACAACTTGTTTTCTCTGTGGGTATTGGAGCTTTAATTTTTGTTCCAGTGTTCAAGGCCTTAACTGGGTTGCCTCCATTTATGGGCATGCTGCTTGGTCTTGGAGTTCTTTGGATTCTTACAGATGCAATTCATTATGGTGAATCAGAAAGGCAAAAGTTGAAAGTACCCCAGGCTTTATCACGAATAGACACTCAAGGAGCCCTTTTTTTCCTTGGAATCCTTTTGTCTGTCAGCAGGTATTGGACATAAATAGTTAAAAAAATTTTATTTGGAATTTTGTGTTGGGAAGTCTGTTTGGGTTTTCATAAAAAAAAAAGTTTTTTAAGTTTAACCAATGAAAAGAATTTTTCTGTTCCCTTCATTCAAGTCCCTAGATTATCAATCTACAAGGCATTGATCCTCTGCCTCTCATGGTTAACTCTGTCTGCACGTTTGTACATGAAGTGATTTTTTAAATTGAATTGCATTGTGTATGATAAACACCAGCATGCCAAACCTGTTTTGTTGAGCTAGTCAGTTGTGAGCCTCATAGATAGATCATGTATCCCAGTTGTCAGCAATTTTGAGGATCAGGGCCCTGTTAATGATCACCATCAATTTATCAGGCCCAGTTTGATTATTGAAACGACAATCTCTGCCGAAGACAGGTGGACAACCTGTGATTGGTACATTTTGTGTATGTGAGAGATTGGTCTTATTCTATTGAAATCTAATGTTCCAGCCTTCTCCTAGTTTCATCTCTTCCCTCCCTCCCCCCCCCCAGCCTTCTCCTAGTTTTCATCTCTTCCCTCCCTCCCCCCCCCCCCCCCCCCAAAAAAAAAAAAAAAAAAGGAAGAAAAATTTAAAATACCTCGCCCCCCCCCCCCCCAAAAAAAAAAAAAGAAGAAAAATTTAAAATACTCTCGGGAATTAAAGTTGAAATCTTAATTATATTTTTCTCTCGAGTTCATATTTTTCTCTTTCCCAGCCTGGAGGCAGCGGGGCTTCTTCGTGAATTGGCAAATTACCTTGATGCTCATATTCCAAATATTGAACTTGTTGCAAGCTCAATAGGGGTTGTGTCAGCAATAATAGACAATGTACCACTGGTTGCAGCAACAATGGGGATGTATGATCTCTCCTCCTTTCCACAGGATTCCGAATTCTGGCAGTTAGTTGCATATTGTGCTGGTACTGGTGGTTCTATGCTAGTCATTGGCTCTGCTGCTGGAGTTGCATTTATGGGGATGGAGAAGGTGGACTTCTTCTGGTACTTGCGGAAGGTACATTCTGTTACAGATGATATTTTTTTTCATGAAAATGTTCTTTCTCAACTTTGTTCCTTTTTCAGGTGAGTGGTTTTGCTTTTGCTGGTTATGCTGCTGGTATTGCTGCATACTTGGCTGTTCATAACCTTAACATCTCCCTACCTAAAACACTAGCAGAGGTTCCATTCCTCTCAGGTTCATAAATTATGGTGCCAAGTATTGCATGTCTTTTGGAAACCGAGCGAGGATGCAGCCATACACAGAATGACCGGTCTAATGAGGGATGCGAGTGGCATAGATGCTGCATGATGTAGACATTGTTCTTTTGGGAAGTATAGAAAAAATCGAATATTTATTAAATGTTGATGCACTCTGATAAGACTACAAGTACGGAAACATTCGCTCTCTCGAATAATTTAAGCTGAGGTGTCAACATGTCCCTTGTCTAATAAAAAGGGGAGTAGTGATACATACATTTTGCTTAGGACACAGTATTTAGGGCATGTAGTAGTGTAGCATGGTATACTTTTGTTCTTTTATAAGATACTTATGAAGGAAAAAAAGAAATCAGAGTTAGCTATTTGATAAGAAAACATCGTAAATTGCTCATTTTACTTCCATGTCCCATGCAAAGATCAAAATTTGATTTTTTGTAAATTTCTCACACAGATGAGCTATACAAACGGTCCCTGGTTGGGATGGATCCCCAGTAGCTGACCAATTATGATTACTAAATACTGTCTTTCTTTGCTTGTGTTTTAAATTACCAGCCAAATGAAAAGTGTTTTTTTTTTTTTTTTTTTTTTAAAAAAAAAAATTTTTTTTTTGAATTTTTTTTTTTTTTTTTTTTTGAAGAAAAAAAAATGGTGGCAATTTCTTTGCTAGTGTTCTAATACCCAATCAAAAGCTAGAAAAAGCTGCTTCTTTGAAGTATCTCTTGCTCGCAGTTTATAAAGTCAGCTGTCTAACGGCTTTCCTTGGTACTGATAATAGTCATAAGGGGCACATACACATGATAGCCAATTGAACATTCAAGAACAAGCTTCAATAAAAATATGAATTAGAGACAAACGGTACCTTATTCAAGTATACACATTTGTCTCAAAGCTAAATTATTCTTTCCCTTCCCAAATACTACCACAAAACACTCGAATCAAAATCGGGCACTACAGTGAAGAAATTATACCCCCATCCCGAAAAGAAGGCGAAAACTAAAATAAAATTAAAGAAAAAAAAAAAAAAAAAAAAAAGCGAAAAGAAGAATACTTAAATTGATTCCATAAACCACAAACTACAACTTAAGGAAAACAAACTGCCTCAATTGCAAAAAAAAAAAAAAAAAAAAAAGAAAGCGAAAATGAAGAATACTAAATGATCATACCACACTACAACTTAAGGAAAACAAACTCCTCAATTGCTGGGATATCTCCAATCTTTTTCAAAGTTTCTTTCTTGGGTTGGTCATCAACTCCAATTGCCATAACAGCTTGCTTTCGAGGAGCAATCCTTCCAACACTCATGAAGCTGACATTCACATTCTCTTCACCTAATATGCTTCCCACTCTACCGATCATTCCAGGTTGATCAACCTGTCGGCAGAGTATAATGCTACCTTCCAAGCTCACATCCACCTCGAATGATCCAACCTTGGTCAGATGAGGAATTCCATCCTTCACCCGACCCTCAACTGTAATATCCCCAGTATCTGATATGGCACTGGCAAATCTTGACTCAACATTGGCAATTTGAACTTGGATAAAGTTTAGTGGACTCTCGGGGGACCCATCTAGAGTAACACGTTCTTCAGCTATCTTCAAGCCTCTCTGTTTAGCACTGAAATCAGCATTAACCAGGTTGACAAAAACACTGGATATTGGCTCGATCAAACCCTTTGTAATCATAGCACGTAGCAGCCTAGTGTCAAGGTCATCAGGAGCTCTAGCAGACCCATAAGTTACTTTCACGGTTTTCACCCCACTTCCACCTGTTACTAGCTGGACAGCCAACCTTCCAAGTTTCTCAGCAAGCACAACAAATGGTTTCAGCTCTGATAGAACCTGCAACTCAAGAATCACAAGTCAAGAACAAGATAAATGGGACGCTCCTAACAATTGTTTTCAAAATTTCAACTTGACGTCAAAACAAATAAAAGATGAGAAAGAGGTCAGCAATGATACCTCAGCAGGAACCATGGGTGCATTGACTGCAGTAGCAGCAAGTTCACCTTTCAACGCTCCAACAACAGCTTCAGCTATTTCAATAGCCACCCCTTCCTGCACAAAACCCATTTTTTTTTAATATCATAGTAAAGGAAATAACTGACCAATAGAAGTTGAATTATTTTTGGTCAGTATTACCTGAGCTTCCACAGTACTAGCACCAAGATGTGGAGTTACAGTCACCCTCTCATGTTGCACCAACTTACTGTCTTGTGATGGAGGCTCCTCAGTGAAAACATCAAGTGCAGCCTGAGCAACAATTCCAGCATCCAGTGCCCTCACCAAAGCTTCTTCATCAATAACTCCTCCACGAGCAACATTGACAATTCTAACACCTTTCTTCATCTTTGCAAAAGTTTCATCATTGAGAATCTTTGATGTAGCAGGAGTAAGAGGCATGTGCAAGGAGATAAAATCTGCAGTTGCTATAGCTTCATCAAAGCTCACAAGATCAACACCAATGGCACGGGCTCGGTCTGCTGGAGCATATGGATCATGTGCAATCACATGCATGCCAAGCCCCTTGGCACGCCGGGCCACTTCTGATCCAACCTTTCCAAATCCCATCACAGCAAGTGTTTTCCCAACAAGTGAGACACCCACATATTTGTTTCTTTGCCACTTACCTGAATTACTCAAAATACGTATAAAGTAAGCGCTTTTTGACAACACCTACGGCCTATTACTTATAAAACACTATTCATATAAAATGGTTTATACCATAGCACAACCATATTTCATAGCAGAGCTCAATACTTGAGAATTGAGACAATCTCGCGATAAAGAAAATTGCAACGTTTTCTATTGCAGTATCATTAAACCCTTCTAAAACCCAAAACAATATCATTTTATAACTACCAGATCTCAACATTTTGAACTATATAATCTCGCTAATGCTAGGAAAAAATCTTTGTTAAACAAAAAGATCAATATAAACCACACAAGAACTTCCAAAAGAAACTAAAAGACCATCACTAACCAGCCTTAACAGATGCATCAGCTTGAGCAACATTCCTAGCCATAGCCGCCAAGAGTGCGATCCCATGCTCCGCAGCCGCAACAGTATTAGCAGTAGGTGCATTAACAACCAAACAGCCATGCTCTGTAGCTGCAGCCAGATCCACATTATCAATTCCCACACCAGCTCTTCCAACAACTTTCAATCTTCCACCAGAAGATTCAAACACATCTCGGTTCACTTTAGTTCCACTCCTTACAATAAGAGCATCACAAAGTGAGATCTTGGTGCAGAGCTCCTCCGGCGAGAGGTTATAAGAACAATCCACGTTAGCAAATTCTTTTAAGAGACTGAGCCCCGCTTCTCCTAGCTTCTCGGCGACAAGTACAGTTGGCTTGCCGCCGAGAGACGCGGAGAGGACTATGAAGCGAGGTTTGCGGCGGGGTTGACGGAGTGTGAGGGAAAACGCTGAATGTTTGTTGGTTGAAGAGAGAGAAGAGAGATTATGTTTGAGAGATGCAGTGCGAAGGTTGGTGGCAGAGGTGGCCATTTCGGTGGCGGTGGCGGTGGCTTGGTGGCGCAAATGGAAGTTGGTGCGGATCGCGGGAGAGAATCGAGATCTGAGTTGATTTATAATAGGGAGGGGTTTGGTGAGGGTTTTGGCAAGAGAGAAGCGTGCGATCACGCGCGGTTGAAATGTATGATTGGCGCGGGAAAGTGGTGAGAGAGGGGAAACGCGGGTGAAGCTACGTCGAGGGATGAGAGTGGGATTTAGGAGTTGGATGTAATCTTGGTAAAGTTAAAAATCTGGAAGGCTGGATTGGTTGGGTTGGGTTGGTTGGGTGGCAATTAATTATTAACTTTGTTTTGTGTTTGTCAATTAATGTTTTTTAATGTCAAGTGTTATAATAATTTATATTTATATTTAAAGATAAATTTTTAGTGTTGGTCAAAAACCATAGAATCCATTGATTGTCTAATTGATCTTTTTACTTACACAAAAAGTAAGAAATTTTGAATTTAAATTATTTTAACTATTATTATTTTTATCAATTTAGTAAATTAAACAGTGAACTACTTAACCTACAGTATTATTTTAGACCATTAAATCTCAAATGAATTTAAAAAACAGCCATTATGTTATTTTCTCTTGTTTACATTCCAATGTTTTTTAGAACAAGAACCAATATATATGAGAAAAATAGCACTTTTAATAATTATTCACCAAGAAAATTGTATAGTTTAACCTTATTTTTACCATAGAAAAGTATTGATATTATATATAGAAAGAAATATATTTAAAATTTTATACATGGCAACTTTGGAAGTAACAGTAACACCGTAGAATTTCCTCATATTCACTACTTGCTTCCTAATATAAATATAATGTAATAATGTATAATATCAGCCCTATAAAAATTATATTCCTTTCATTCCATTTTGTTTGCTTGTTATTTTTTTTAATGTCCCAAAATGTTCAAACTTTCTAAATTTAAATATATAAATAATTATTTTTTTATAATAATCTTTATGATTATTCATTAAATGAAGAACTTTTATTAATATCTTAATATTTTAAATATATAAATAATTATTTTTTATAATAATCTTTTGATTATTCAAAATAAATGAAAGAACTTTTATTTATGATTATTCATTAAATGAAGAACTTTTATTAATATCTTAATGAGTTAATGTAAAAAAAATAAAATAACTTTTGTTAACTAAATTCTTAATATACGTGTTTTGTCAAACTATGAAAAAAAAAAAAAAGGAACGGAGGGAGTATATGTATGCATACATCCTTGCAAGAGCTTCCATTCATCAGTTGAAAATGGATCAGTTTTTACCTGGAAGATTAACTTCTTCTGTCAAGATCAAGAACATCTCCAAATATAAGATTTCAATTTTCTATATTTGTATTTCTTATTTCTATCGAAATATAATGATGTACTCAACTTATATTCATTATTAATGAATTATTAAGTTTAAAAAAAAATGAGAAAAAAAAGATTTAGTATTTTTTTTTTCTTTCTAGTATTCTCATATCTTTTTTTATCTGAAAATTAAATTTATTCATAATTATATCAAAATTAATGTTATCAAAATAGCTTATTTTTACTCAAAATTTTATTCATCATCACAATTTTACTTATTAATGAAAATTGAAATTAAAATAAAATTAATAATATTCTTTGAGGACACCCTTTCCATTATAATATCTTTATCTTTCCTCTCTCTCCCATGCTCAATTTACTTCCAATGCAACTTTCATCACCAGGAATAAAAGATTATTGCACTATAACATACATGGAAAAATTTTTAATTTTTTTTTAGAAAGAAATCATTGATACTTTCTTATTATATCTTTTCATAAGCCTATATATGAGGGGATTGTAAATTCAATGTCATAAAAGAAAATCACATGTAAATACTCATTTAAGTAACATGTATATCATGGGTTGTGAAATAGCCAAAGAGAATTTGGGTGAGCAAACAAGGGTTTCAATTCAAAAGCGAACGGACCTAAATGATAAAGGTAAAATGAACTTCTTGAAATTGAAATTGATATCAAAATTAAATTGACTCAAACTGAATCAGTTACGTTTGATTGGTTTGGTTAACAAGTTGGAATGACAATCTAATAGTATAAAACATATGTAATCATTCATTTAATCACCACAATTGTTCTATTTATTAAGCTTTTCAACATGTTATTTTATTTTTATTTTTATTCGATTATTATTCTAACTCATTATGCTAACGTAGTATCATTGTTATTGTTGTAAAATTACTTATTTTTATAGAGAGAACAATCAAAATGGGAAAAATTAATTAATATCTCTTTAATCATACTCATGACAATAGTGTTGGACAAAATACCTCAAATTTAAAAAAAGTTACAGATGAAAGTGAATTAAGGGAGTAATTCTCAACTCGATTTTGACACTTAGCTAATTAGTATCATTATTTGATTTTAAATTTATCTGTGACATCCCAGGTTTGGGGCACAACACCTTAGGCGAATCTCACATTGGCTACGCACAAGGTGGAAGTCCTATACATAAAGGGTGGCAACCTAGGGTGGCAACCTTGAACATGGTAAGACGCCATGGTAGACGCGTTTTGGACTGGCAGAGTGGAGGTTTCCCTGGCCCAGAAACAAAATCGTGCGGGCTTGTGTGGCCCAAAGCGGACAATATCTACCATGGGCTGGGCTGTTACATTATCAAACAATTTTTTCTAGGGGATGTAATTATTATATTCTATAATGTAATATTTTTATTTTTGGGGAATTTTTCTTCAAAATGTAATTATATTCTATAGTGTAATATTTCTATTTTTGGGGAATTTTTCGCCAGAATGTAATTATAGTCTATAGTGTAATATTTCTTTTTTTTTTTTTCGGAATTTTTCTTTGCAATGTTCATCTCATTCAACTCATACATAATGCCATTATAAATTATATAAAATAATATTAATATATATATATATATATATATATATATTATGTAATAATATTCTTCTTACCATTTGTATTTATTTAATTTTTGGTTAGTCGGCATAAAAGATATAATATTCTTCTACCATTTGTATTATAATTTTTGGTTAGTCGGCATAAAAGATCTTATAATAATAATAATAATAATTTTCAATTTACCCAGAATTAATGAATATATAATTTTTTAAAATGGCCAAAAGTGTTTACTCTTTAGGCTATCGATCCATGAGCATGAGGTGCGGCGCATGGGGTAAGTAGCACGTGCTAAGATTCACCTGCGGAGGATCTACCATTATACCTTAGTTTATTCTGTAGGTAGTACCTTTCCATTTTATAGTACTTGTAGCGTGGAATCTAATCTTAATTGGGGGTGGTGAGAGTTTCGGAACCGTCCGTTTCAGTTTTAAAATCGATGGTTCTGATTTTAAAAGATTTAAAATTAAAACTGAACTGAAAATTGACAGTTTCAATTACCATGGAAAATTAAACAGTTAAGGTTTCAATTCTGATTTCTTAACAGTTCCACATCAACGGTTTGGGTTGGTTCTCCGATTGATTTTTCAACATTATAAAATCAAAAGTTAGGGAATATTTTCTTGTTGAAAATTTAAAATTTAAATATTTATGAAATAATTTTTACAAGAAACTTAAAGAAAAAAGTAAAAAAAAAAGCTTAATTTATTTATTTTAAATGAAATAGGGTATTTATAGTAAATTTTAAAAATTAATGTTCCACAAATACTCTTAAAACTAGTCGTTATATAGTTATTAGGAGAGTTAATTTTGAGATTTCACAAAAATATTTGAAAAAATAAAAAAAATTATTAAAACCGAGTGGAACCACTGGTTCCAGCCGGTTCTTGGAATTGTTGGTTCCTCAAAAGTTAGAACCGGAACTGAACCGCAAACCCCTAGTTCCGGTTTTGGTTCCTCACGATTCCGATTTCAACTCCCACTGGTTTCGAATCGGCGGTTCCAGTTTCAAAAACCGGAAAATAATCTTATTGCACAAACACAATGCTATTTTTAAAAATTTTTATAGCAAGTCTTATGAATTTAATATATAATTGTTATAGTAAATATTATGTGGTTGTAAATAAAAATTATTTCTCTGCTAAATACATTTAAAAAATATCTGACACTTAAAATAAAATAATTCTAGATTTGACTAATGCATTTTTCTTATTGACTCTCTTCTCTTAACTCACTAAATTAGTGAAAATTTTTTAAAAAAATTTTAATGATAGATAAAACTGAAACTCAAAACATTTCAATCACTTCAATTACAAAACATTTCAATCACTCTTAGTACTGAAAAACTAAACAGACTATACTTATTTCTTTAAAAATAAAAATAGTAAATAAATAAACTATTACTTATCTAGGTTGGTGCTTGAGTGAGCCATGCCTTCCAAGATTTTTATAATTGAAATTTTTTGTCCAAAAAATTTATTTATATATTTTTTTCATACAGGATCGACTAAATTCAACTTGGGGCTTAGTCACAGTTAAAGTTTTTCGCCCGTTCCAATAGGTGTGTATAATTTAAATAGAATCTGAGAGCTCTTCTCATATATACAACATACGTTGTCAATTGAGCTATAACCTGTAGATTTTATTCATTGAAAATATGTACAGTCATCTCCTAAATATAAAATCTAGTTTTACCACGTTATATATCTAATATTTTGATCCAATTTTACAAGTCATAATATAAGACTAGTAACACAATTATAAGAATTAAATAATTAACTTGTTACAGTTTGCTATTCGAGGTTCGGAACGTATGCGGATTGAAGTTGTTTTGTTTGATTTTAATTATCAATTTAATTTTTGCGCGGTAAGCCATTCAACTTTCTCTGTACTAATACATTAATTTTTCTTTTAGAGAATGTTAGAAAGTTTATTTTTCTAATTAAGGGTATGATTAATAATATTAGATGTTTTAATAACTGTTAATTATTAGTTATTAGCTCGTAGCTATTTTTATAGTATATTAAAGTAGAAGTGTTTAATAAAAATAGTTGTTTAATTTAAAATGACAAAAAAGAATATTAATTATTTAATTAACTGAATTTAGAGGATAAAAAAATGGATATGATTGCTAAAAAAATTTAATTAAAA